GGCTTTGCCATGCAGGCGGGATACTCTCGGTAGCTTGCCGGACTCTCCGAGAGGGGCGGAGGAATCAAAGCCGGGTTGGCTATGTCAGCTGCTCACAAGACAAACGCCTTACCCGCTGTGCTCTCGCTCCAGCTGGAAGTTACTGAGAGCATCAGGTGGGTCTACAAAATTAAAAATAATGATCTAAAGAGAGGTGTTTTGTGTGGATGGAAAAATGTACAAAATTGAATTGGTAAGTAAGCCTGGCAAGCTACCCGTGACATATTCAATATGCCAAACACGGTAACAATAAGTCTCACAATGGTGACGTTACTGGGCCCGCTCGAGCAAATCAGTGAACAACGGGAGGACAGTGACAGTGGCAGGGAGGGCAGGACAAGTACAGATTGTATCATTTTTCATTAAGTCTTGGATTCTTTTGCTTTGGTTTGGTTTTTGGACCATACCGAGCAGTGCTCAGGGACAACTCCCAGCTCTGTGCTCAGGGGCAACTCCTAGCAATGCTTAGGGGACCCTTTGGTGTCAGATATTGAACCCCAACCTCCCATATGTAAAGCATATGCTCAGTCTGTTGAACTTGCTCTCTGATCTCAAACTTGATTATTTTTTTTCTTTTAATATTTTAATAATCTTAATAAAAAAATCAGAAAGGAAATGAACATTAAGTCGTTCAAAACAATCTCAGGACAAAAGTTCATTATATTTAGTCATTAAATACCCTGGACCAAGAGACACTTAAGTGTTCTGTAGTTCACTCTGTGCAGGCAGGAAGCCTGAGTCCTATCCCCAACACCCGCCCCCCCCCCCTGCTGGTTGTAGCCCTCTAGCAAAAATGAAACAAATCTTAGAGAGAGAGAGAGAGAGAGAGAGAGAGAGAGAGAGAGCGCTATGCTGTGGTGTGCAGCTAAACCCATTCTTTGATGATGAAACCAGTTTTATTCTCCTTCATAATAAAAAAATGTCCTTGTGGTAAGAGGAAAGAGAGAGGGAAAAAGAAAGGAAGAAAGAAAAGGAGAGAGACAGAGAGAGAGAGAGAGAGAGAGAGAATTCTGATTTTCTGGACTCTGGGGACCCTTCTCAGATTAGTCAGCTTTGTTTTATCACTTTTGTCTTTATCCCTAAGTCACATTTGAGAAATCTGCTTATGCTCTAATTCAATTAGTAATAAATGAATGCAAGACTGGTTTAAATCTTTTTTCCCTAGGGGTTTGGGGCTACCTCAGTGGTACCTTGCCTGCCTTATAAGCATGAGGGCAGGAGTTTGATCCCTGGTACTTACTCAAGTGCAATCCCAACAGTGCTGCCTTTTTTGGGGTCCCCCCTGCTCCACAATAGGGTCTCCAGTGAACTGCAATCGAAGGCCCTGACCCATGCGAGCACACATGTGGGCAGAGCTACCAAGTCCGTGACCCCTGTGAGCACCACAACTAATGGTGTGTGACCTGGCACGCCCCAGTCATTGCAATAACAAAAACAACAAAGGAAGGGGAATGAGGTCAAAGAACTTTATTTTCGACTTCTCTGGATAGGAACTCTCAGCATTTGGCTTCTGTGCACATCATTAAGGAAAAGTGATTCTTTGTCTTTGGCTCTAAAGGGTAGAAATCAGATGACAAATTCAGCAGGTATCAGCATGCCTGAGGTCTCAATAGTTATATCTGCACTCTAATTAAACATGAACAACAACAAAAGAGCCAGATTGAAGTGAGCTATAGGGAAGCTCATAGAAGATAAAGACTGCTGAGAAGTCCTGCATTCTAGGTAAAGGAAGGTGTGATCCATCCACTTCCTTGTCTCAGACTGCTGTATCTTTTCATAACTTGCCTGCTCCCGTCCCAAGCAGTGGCACCTGACCTCTCTCTTTGGAATAGTTTCACCAAGAAAACAGAAGCTTTCTCTAGTAAAACCACCATTTTGGTTGACAAGGAGGTTTCTCTGTTGCACGTGAATTTCTTGCTTTTGGCTTCTGCAATCTCGCAGCCCAGAGATGGAAGGTTGTATTGGCATCTTACGGTTCTGCTTTCATCCTTTCCCTGGGACAATGCAGGCCTGAGAAGCGGTTCCTCACCAGCTCAGTGTAGTTGCTGGCGAGCTCACCTGACTTCGCCTTGTGCTGTTGGTACCACAGCATCTACCAATTCCATCCCATTCCATTCCCTCCCATTCCATTCCCTCCCATTCCATTCCATTCCTCTCCTTCCTAGTTACAGTCACAAAACTCTGGGTTTGTCCAGAACCTTATATTGAATCATTAAACACTATGATGTATGATGGTCACATCTTTTATTTATTTATTTATTTATTCGCACGGCAGAGCCTGGCAAGCTACCCGTGACATACTCGATATGCCAAACACAGTAACAACAAGTCTCATGATGGAGACATTACTGGGCCTGCTCAAGCAAATCGATGAACAACGGGAGTACCATAACCATGACCATTTACTTATTTATTTTGCTTTTTGGGTCACACCTGACAATGCACAGGGGTTCCTCCTGGCTCTGCACTCAGGAATTACCCCTGGCGGTGGTCAATGAACCATATGGGATTCTGGGAACCAGCATCAGAACCCTACCCACTGTGCTATTGCTCCAGCCCCACATCCTTTTTTGATCCGACTTTTGTGTCCGTCATTAGAAAAAGTCTGAGTTCATTTTTTTTTTTCATGTAGCTGCCCAGTTTTTCTGGCACCCCTGGTTGAAGAGGCTTTCCTTGCTCCACTTAATATTTCTTGCTCCTTTATCAAAGATTAAGTGATTATATATTTGAGGGTCCGTGCCAGGGTATTTGACTCTGTTCCATTCATCGGTGGGTCTGTCTGTATTTCGGTACCATACTGTTTTCATTATTATTGCCTTGTAGTACAGTTTGAAGTCGGGGAAAGTAATACCTCCCATCTTCTTTTCCCCAAGGGTGACTTTAACTATTCGTGAGGGTTTGTTGTGCCATGTGAGTTTCAGGAGTATTTGATCGATTTCTTTGGAAAATGTCATAGGTATTGTTATAGGAACTGCATAGAATCTGTATAATGCTTCGGGAAGAATGGTCACATCTCAACTCTGAGAAAAAAAAACAAATATGCACTAATTTCTTGAGATTTTTATCTGGTTAAAAGTTTTGCAATTCCAGAATAATGGTGACATAGATATATGTGTGCATGTATGTCTGTATGATCTAATCTATGTCTAGGATCTGTATGTGTGCATAGAAGTCTGTATACATGTGTCGTCAACTCTGAGCATGCGTACACACCAGCTCAGTATATTTGCTATGTGGGTATGTGTTATATGTGGGTATAACTCCCTCCTCCCTGCCCCCTACTCCACTCTGCTGTGATTTGTCTCTTCCTCTTTGACTTAACATTTTGCTTGGTTTTCTCTTGACACTTTCTGTTACTGACATGAATGGAAGAGTTGGATGTTTTGCAGGGACACTCCGAGTAATCCAGAGGATTTCTCCACTTCTGTGAGTTCCGTTCTGTTACCTACAGCCCCTCTTGACCTCAAAGCTACTGAGAGTATCTCGCCCTTACGGCAAAGCCTGGAAAGCTACCCGTGACTCGATATGCCAAACACAGTAACAAGTCTCACAATGTTACTGGGCCCGCTGGAGCAAATCGATGAACAATGGGAGGACAGTGACAGTGACGGAGAACCTTTGACAATCCTTTAGTTTCATCTCTCGTTGTCAGTACCAGCATCAGACCAGCAGAGGGCGCAGTTGGTAACAGAGAGAACCCAGTTGAACTAGTGCCTCCGTTTCTGTATTTTTCTTACCGGTTTCTGTATTTTCATGAGTTTCTATCTGGGGTAAGTAAGGTAAAAGTTATTTGTGAGGCACTCATTTAACTGTGTATAGAGGCAGACCAGAGATGTAGCTGAAGGGTAGAGCACGTGCTTCACATAGATGACGCTTGACCTCTCGAATCCAAAAAATGTAGGTTTTTAAAATTCATTTTTTCAAATGTCTCGTTACAAGGCAAACCACAAATGCGTTTTCACTATAACTGGAAAATTCTCCCATTGTCATGTCCTTCCCTTAGAAGTAACAGTTAATCAGTCTTTCCAGATAATTTTTAATATACTAGAAGCTTATAAAGTAACTAGGAATAGAAACATTTTTTAAAAAATAAATGGAGTCAGGCTGTGTTACTTTATAACTTACTTTTCTCCTCCCCACAAACATCTACGTACACACACGTTCATACATTCTCCTTTTCTGTTTAATTTTTAATTTATTTCCCTTCCTTATTTTCTTGTTTTCCTTATTATTTTATAATTTCCCTTTCTTCCTTATCCTTTTTACTATTTTCCTTAATATTTTATTTATTTTATTTCCCTTTCCTCCTTATTATTTTTATTATTTTCCTTATTGTTTCTTTCCCTTTCTTCCTTATTATTTTCATGTTTTTAACACATTGCTCCCTAGGAGTTCACAGTTGATTGCATAATTGTTCTATTGAGATTTCCAGCTGGTTTTGTTATCATTATAAACAGTAGATTCTCATGACTGAGATGATATTTATTTACCTATTTTTAAGTTTAAAGTGTAAACATACATGCATTTTTTTTTAAGGAGGAGGAGTGGAGAGTGTGTCTTAGGAGTCCAGATTTCCCTGAGGGCTGTCATAATAGGGTGCTGTGGGCTGGCAGCCCCCCTGTACCAGAGGGAGATGGGGTGACGGTGCCGGCTCAGCGATGTCCCCTTACCCCCAGCTGCAAGTCCACACAGTAGAGCGTTTAATGAAGCCGAGTCCAACCCCCCCCAACCCCCCAACCCCCCAGCCCCCAGGCACTGACAGTCCGAAGTCTTGGGGAAAGGGACGACCTTTATTGGGGATGAGATGGGATGGGATGGGATGGGAGGGTGGGACCACTTCCAGCAGCCAATGAGATGAAAGAGGGGGTGGAGCCAGCAGGCATGCCGCACTCGGATTGGCGAAGCCCGGTGGTCTAAGGGTGTCTGGGTTTCTCACCTCTGTGTCATTCTCCTCTCTGCAGTTGGCCGTCCCATCCCTGTTCAGCAGACGCAGAATCCCAGCCAAGAGCAGATTGATGAGCTGCACCGGACCTATCTGAAAGAACTCCGGAAGTTATTTGAGGAGCACAAAGGGAAGTATGGTATTCCTGAGCACGAAACTCTCACTTTTCTATAAAGACGCATTAAGAAGAGAGACCAGAGGCTGAGAGAATAATAGCCTATGAAAAGAAGAATGATATTAAAGAAGATATTTTCCCCCCCAATTTGACAGTGGGAGCAAATTCGGAACTGAAAAGTAGTATGTCTAGTTAAAGTAACAAAATAGGAGATTAATACCCAAGAATAGCCGAGATCAGTACCAGGAGGATTACTCCATGGCTTAGAGGCAGCTGGGCATTCTAGGGGAAAGGGCAACTCAGACAGAGAAGGGAGCACCAAATAAAGGGTGTTTGGAGGATCCTCCCAGGAGGGGAGATGCATGTTGAAAGTAGACTATGGACTGAACATGATTGCCACTCAGTGTCTCTTTTGCAGACCACAACACCCAAGAGGAGAGAGAGAACAAAAGGGAATGCCCTGCCACAGAGGCAGGGTGGGATGGGGGGGATGGGGGTGGGAGGGATACTGGGATCCATGGTGGTGGGAAATGGGCACTGGTGGAGGGATGGGTATTGGATCATTGTATAATCGAAACCCAAGCACAGAAATTTGTAAGTCTACAACTGTACCTCATGGTGCTTCACTAATAAATTTTTTTTAAAAAGTAGTATATCTAGTGACAGATTTGTTTATGACAAATAAGAGTAGAGTGGTTATCTATCGGATAAGGTTAGAGATAAAACCTTTTCATCAGTTCCTCATTCAGGTAGGCGAAATCATTTTACAGGTTAAGAAGAGGCTTAAGGATCAGAGAGACAGTACAGGGGTTAAAGTGTTTGTCTTGCCAAGTAGGGTTCAATACCCAGGACCACATATGGTTCCCCTTATCCCCAGGAGTGATCCCTGAGCACCACCTGGTATGAGCCAAACAGCGCCTACCATAGAGGCAGGCTGGGGGAGGGGGTAGCATAGGAGGAGGGCACCTGGGGACACAGAAGTGTACATTGGTGGAGGGATGGGTGTTGGAACACTGTATGACTGAAATCTATTCAGGAACAGTTTTGTAAGTAAGGGTCTATCTACAGTGATTCAATAAAAAAAGAAAAATTAAAATAAAAAATTAATTAAAAAGTTAAAAAAAATAAGTACATAAATAAAATGATTCACGTGCTTTTAAGAAAATGACAGCTTAAAAAAAATAATTCAAGGGGGAGGCTGGAGCGATAGTACAGCGGGGAGGGCGTTTGCCTTGCAAGCAGCCAACCTGGGTTCGATCCCCAGCATCCCATATGGTCCCCTGAGCACTGTCAGGAGTAACTCTTGAGTGAAGAGCCAGGAGTTGCCCCTGAGCATCGCTTGGTGTGATCCCCCCCCCAAAAAAAGCAAAAAATAATTCAAGGGGCCAGAGCGATAGTACAGTGGGGAGGGCGTTTGCCTTGCACGCAGCCAACCTGGGTTCGATCCCCAGCATCCCATATGGTCCCCTGAGCACCGCCAGGAGTAACCCCTGAATGCAAAGCCCTGAGCATCGCCAGATGTGACCCAAAAAAATTTTTTTAAAAAAAGAGGAAAAATAATTCAGAGGAAGGCGCGTTAGCAAGAGCATGTGACCAGCATGTGCAAAGCCCTTTGATGAGTAGCAGCTGAGGCTGGAACAGCATCTAAAACAAACCAACCCCCGTACTCGGTATCCCAGTCATGTAAGGTGCTCTTTCCTCCACATCTGACAGCCGCTGTTTAAGAGCCAGCATGTAAAATCATTGGCCTTATGCCAGAGCAATAGCACAGCGGGGAGGGTACTGGCTTTGTATGCAGCTGATCTGGGTTCAATTCCCGGCACCCCATTTGGTTCCCTGAGCACTCACTGCCAGGAGTGATCCCTGAGCACAGAGCCAGGAGTCAGCCCTGAACATCACCGGGGAGGTCTAATAATAATAATAATAATAATAATCACTGTCACTGTCCTCCCGTTGTTCGATTTGCTTCAGTGGGCACCAGTAACATCTCCATTGTGAGACTTGTTGTTACTGTTTTTTGGCATATTGAACATGCCACGGGGAGCTTCCCAGGCTCTGCTGTGCAGGCAGGATACTCTTGGTAGCTTGCTGGGCTCTCTGAGAGGAACAGAGGAATCAAACCTGGGTCCGTCGTGTCAAGGCAAACACCCTACCCATTGCCCATTGTGCTATGGCTCCAGCCCAGTTTTTAACTAAAAGACTAAAATGTCCTTTTTTTTTTTTTTTTTTTTTTGGTGGGGCTGAGAGTGTTCCTTCAAGTAGAATTTGTAGAACTTTTTTTTAAAGGAGGAAAGCAGACCATTTCTCTTCTAACCAGCTAGTTGTTCCATTTTCTTGTGGATGCAAACACGGAAGCAGTTCTTTGTATTTAAGACAACGGGGTTTCTCTAACACCTAGTGTCCTGGTCACTTTAATGTATTCCTCCAAATGCCTTCAGTCTAGTGCGTTTATAACTTATGTGAGAAGCAGAGAGTTGGTTTCAATGCTTGTTTTAACCCTGGGGGTCTTAATGAGCCCTCCAGATCAGAACCTAGCTCAGGTGCATTTGGCGGTGGTCCCAAACAAAGACTTTAGCAAGGTTCTCTGTGAATGCTCACAGCACTTACCTGGAAGGCAGATGGATTGTGCTAGAAAAGACGGGGTGTGTGTGGGGGGGGAAGTGCGTAGAGATGAGAGACTTGATGGTTGCTCTAGTTATTTCCACTAAGGATAAAATAGCAGCACCCCAGTGAGGTTTCATGAATTCACCCCGCGTTCATCATTCCCTACTGGTGATGGGATTCAAGGCATTGCTAATGCCTGATGCTCGAGTCATAAGCCCCCAAACTTCTCCAATCACACAGAAGCGGCCCAGAGGTGGAGGGTGGAATTCAAAGCACAAGAGATTTACCAATGTGGAAGCAAGCTCTGTCTTTGGGGATTGAGAACATTTTTCTTTTCGGAGTCCAGCGCGCTGCCTTGTTGATTTTTCCCTTTCTGCAAGAGCTATTTTGGTGACGAGTCCTGGGGCCAGGCCAAGTTTGCAGCAAGGGGCTCTGCCTCTGGCCAGAGCAGCAGAAGGCCAGCTGCCTTGCGCCCAGGGGGAGAAACACAGCCTGCTTGGGGGATGGGGGGAAGGGGCAAGAGGGGGCGGTCAGCACTGAGACCACAGCTCAGCCCCCTTCCCCCACCCCCGGTGGTGAGAGACTCTTGCCAGCCCCCACCGCCGCGAGTGTGTCCAGTTCACCCCCAGACCCCAGTCGCTCTTGGTTACTGGCTCAGAGTTCTCACAGTCTCTCTGGAGAATAAATAAGTGTTTGGCTTTCCTTGTATCCCCAAGGGAGACTTTGATTTTTCTTACTCCAGTTCCAGCCCCACGTGAAACCTTTGGTTTTGTTTTTCTGGTTGCCTCCCAAACCTTGCAAGACGGGGGGGCGTGAGGATGGGGCGGTGGAGGGTGGGGTTGCTGAGTATACTGGCCATCACTCATAAAGGAGCTGGAGAGATAGTCCAGCGGGTGAGGTGTTGGCCTTGAACACGGCCAGCCCGGGTTCGATCTCCAACACCCTCTCTTGGTTCCCCAAGGCCCAGGAGGAGTGATTTCTGAGTGCTGAGCCAAGTGAAACCCCTGAGCATTGCCAGGTGTTGGCCCCAAAACAAACTTTTAAAAACCGAAAAGTAGGGCTGGAGCTATAGCACAGCGGGTAGGGTGTTTGCCTTGCATGCGGCCAACCCGGGTGGTGTTGGTTCGATTCTCAGCATCCCATATGGTTGCTTGAGCAGGGACAGGGGTAATTCCTGAGTACAAAAGAAAAACTTCTGAAAGACTAGTAGAGATCGGGAGGGAGCAACCTCTGTGGTGGAGAGAAACGTTAAGTAGCGGGAAGGAGGCGGTGCTGAGGAGAGTGGTGAAGTGATACGTATGAAGCAGTCCCGGCAGCAGTGCTGTAAGCCACCGTGCAAAAACACACCCGTGGAAAACAGAAAGAGCATCTCTTAGACTGGGGGGAGGGAGGCAAATTGGTTGGATGGGAGTGGTCGGGTGATAAAGGGATTGATGGAACGTTGTCTGCCTGAAACATAACCGTGACTAACTTTGTAATTTCACCGGGACTGAAAAAGGAAATAAGGGGCTGGAGCGATAGCACAGCGGGTAGGGCGTTTGCCTTGCACACGGCGGACCCGGGTTCGATTCCCAGCATCCCATATGGTCCTCCAAGCACTGCCAGGAGGAACTCCTTAGTGCAGAGCCAGGAGGAACCCCTGTGCATCGCCGGGTATGACCCCAAAAGCAATATATATATATATATGAAAAAATAAATGTATATGTATATAGTAGAGACTGGAGCGATAGCACAGTGGTAGGGCGTTTGCCTTGCACTCAGCCAACATGGCCGACCCAAGTTCGATTCCTCCGCCCCTCTCAGAGAGCCCGGCAAGCTGCCGAGAGTATCTCACCCGCACGGCAGAGCCTGGCAAGCCACCCGTGATGTATTCGATATGCCAAACACAGTAACAACAAAATCTCCAATGGAGACGTTACTGGGCCCGCTCGAGCAAATCAATGAACAACGGGAGGACAGTGACAGTGACAGTATATAGTAGAGAAAGTAACTTAATTCTCCCCGAGCCCCAGCTGCGAAGCCTAATCTCTCAGGCTCTGGTCTCCCACACTGGCCGGGTGACCCGGGTCACTTCCTTCCCTTGGAAGCAGGGTGAGAAATGCCTGGTCTCTAGTGTCCCTTCTGGCCCTCCGTGGCTCCTGGCAGTTGTCCTCCGCAGGCGCTGTGGTTTGACTTTTCCTGCCCCCTCCCACCCTCTCTGGATTCGCGCCTCTGACGTCTGGGGTGAGATCAGAGGATGATCACGCGCGTTTGGTGTACAGAAAGCACACATTCGACTGAAACTTGCCCCGTGTTCCAGTGTCATGTCATGCCGGGGTTCCTAAGAGTCATTTCCTTCTCTGTTGGGGGGTGGGGTGAGTCTTTATTTCAGAGGCACCCTCCTGCCTCTGGTTCAAAACTCTGAAACAGCAGCTCATTGTTTGCTCAGTTCTCTCTGGGACACTGTGACTTTTGATTGTGTTCTATATTGTATAGGAACGAAGACTTTTTAAGAACTTCCATGTGTAACAT